CAACTAGGAACAGTAAGAGCAATAGTTAATAAAAACAGAACACTAACAAGAACTACAATCTTTCTCAGACCCTTATTTCACTGTCTTTACCTCTCTTGTGATGATACGGATTATACAAGATCCACAGGGTGAGACGGAGGTGAATGACTGACGGTTCGTCATAGCAGTGGGCACTATATAAGGGTTTCTTGAACACATGGGTTGCGATATTGATACTACGACAGTCTATGTGAAGAGGGAGGTTACTCGGCAACTGTCCAGTGAGATGATTCACATCCTGCACAGAAAGGAAGTAGCACTGACATTCCATCAGCTAGTCAGGAGAGCGTGCAATTTAAACGTTACTGTTGGAGTTAAATAGTTTAATTCTGTTTAATGTTTCTGGAATTTTCCAAGTAATGTCTTAAGCGTGGTTGACTGAGTTGGCTGGAACTGTGGAAAGGTGGAATCCCAGCTAAGATGGGATTACTGCAGATGACGGATTCAAAGGTTTATCAATGCTTGGTGTTTCTAAGGGTTCTTTTGTGTTTTAAGGGCAGCAGCATGAGCCCTGGACCTTTCCAGTCACAGCTCAGTCTCACTATCTCAACATTCATTTCCTCATTTAGAGTCACATAATCTGATAAACAACCTTTGACAAGCTGTGGTTAGACACCTCTAGATCCAGATTAGTGCTTTTAAATTACGGATGGACACGCATGCCTATAACATGAAAATGTGGTGAGACTGACAAGTGACCCCACAGGCTCAGATATTTGAACACACGGACCCGTTAGTGGTGCTGTTGGGGTTGGTAATGGAACCTCTAGCAGGTGTAGCCTCACTGGAAGTACATCACCGGGGCTTATGTTGAGAGCTCGCTCACAGCCTAACCCCACTTCCAGTTCTCTCTGTTTGCAGTTGAAGATGTGATCTGTCTGCTTCCTCCTCCTGCCCCCATGACTGCTGCTGGCCCATGACTCCCCTACCTGGTTGACTCTTACCCTCTGGAACTGTAAGCCAAAAAACAACTCTTCCTTCTACGTGTTGCCTTGGTCATGGTGTGTCAGCACAGTAACAGAAAAGTAACCGGTACAGTTGTCAGTCCATGAGAGGACTGACAGTCCCGAGGACTGAGAATATAAAGTTTTATGATTCTTTTTTTAACAGGCCACTGTACCAGCTAAATCTAGGAAGAAATTTGACCTTATATTTTGTATGCCTTTGGTCTGTTAGGTTTCGTTTTTCTAGTAATTAAGGGGAACATTAGTGATTAACTTTTGGGAAGACCTAAAGTTGACCATTTAATATAAGAATGTATCAGACTATAAAAGTTGTTATGGCAATACCTCCTCAGTGACCCGGGACAGGCCAAGGTATTACTATTTTTGTATGTGTATGTATATGGGCTGTGATAGGTAAAAAGTTGGCGGAGAAAGAGCGAATGGAGGATGAGGCACCGAGGCACAGCTAAAACTCCATCAAAATAGGGTTTATTAGCAAAGGAACACATGGGACGGATTCCCTTCCAGGCAGGGAAAATGTCTGCCCGGGTCTTGAGCTGGGGTCTTTTTAAAAGGGAGGCTTCTGCTTCCTGCAGAAGGCAGGAAGATGTATTTTTTTTAAAGTTGGTGGGGGAGGGCAGTGGGAGAGCAGGACTGTTAAAACCTGTCCTCTTTAGAGATCAAAGGGGAAGCTTGCTGTGTTGGCCAAACAGTGGAGAAAAGTCTGCTTCTCTTGACTTCAAAGACCAAGGTGCTTATCAGCTAGGTTCCTTTTTCTCAGGAGCATGAGAAGTCCTTGGGATCCTGTTGGTGAGGGGGCGGGGCTATCTGAACCTTAACAGGCTATGCACGTATATTCATGTGTGTGGGTGTGCATATGTGTGCACATGTGGAAGTCAGAGATGTCTTCCACAATCTTTTATATATGTAGGTTGATTTGAGAGACCTGAGTGACTCCATCTTGGATAAAACCTCCATAGGACTGACCCAGCCCTGGGCCCTCTTCCAAGAAAAACCACAATACTTGGAATGGATAGTGAACAACTCCCCCACCAACCATCAATTAACCAGGGACAGGAAAGTACTAAAAGTCCAGATATCTTCAGATTTCCTGAAGCCAGAAGTTTATGGTTTGGCACTGAGCTGCAACCAATCAGATGCTTGCCAGGCTGGAGACCCCCTACTCCCCTACTTGCTGAACTTGCTGAAATAAACCTATAAAAACCTCTGTCTCCCGAAGCAAGGGGTCTCACATCTGAGATCCACTGAGTCGGTGACAGAGTGGGCCCAAGCTTAAGCTTGTAACAATAAAAGAACCCCTTGTGTGTTTGCATCGGTTGGCTTCTTGGTGGTCTTTGGGGTCTTGCGAACTGGGAGCAACAGAGTCTCTCACTCGAACTCACAGTTGGCTGATTCAGGTAGTGGCACCAGGAATTGTCTCCGTCTCCTGTGTGCTGGGATTACAGGCGGGCTGTTATGCCTATCAGCACTTATGTAGGTGCTTGGAAGCCAAATTTGGGGCCTCATGCCTATGTGGAAAGTACTTTGTCCACTAAACCATCTTCCCAGCCGCCACCCCGCCCAAAATGTGTATTGTTTAATGTGTGTTGTATGTGAATGCTGTTTGCATTAGGTGCATGTGCATGTGTGTGTGGAGGCCAGAGAGGAGAAACTTGGGTGTCATTCCTCAGGTACCATCCATCTGCCTTGTTTTTTCTGCTAGGCTAGCTTGCCAGGGAGACTGAAGAATATTGCTGTCTTTGTTCACTCTGCAGTGGGATCCCAAGCAGGCCACCAAGACTGGCTTTTTTTTTTTGGTCTTTTTTGAGACAAGGTCTCCCTGTAGCCGCAGCTGGCCTGGATTCACTAATGGAGACCAGGCTGGCCTCAAACTCACAGAAATCCACCTGCCTCTGCCTCCTGAGTGCTGGGATTAAAGGCATGCGCCACCACGCCCAGCATTTTTTTAAAAACATAGGCTCTAGGGGATGGAACTCAGGTTTTCATGTTCACACAGCAAGCACTTTAGTGACTGAACTATCTCCTCAGCCCCTAGGCTGAGACAGTCTTATAAAAAGTGAGACAACAGAGACAACAGGAAGTAAGTTAATTTTTGTGGGTATGACATAGCAGTTGATGTGCCAGAAAAGAAATGCAACAGTTCAACTTTCAGCTGAGATGAAAGCGTTGTTTTTCACTCTTCCCCATTCAGGTTAATAGCAAAGTTGGAGTTCAGTGGGGAAAAAGCATTAATAGACCCATTTATTTAGAGCTTCCTGTGTAGGACCCCCAGACTGGGGTACCCTATGTTCTCGGGAGGTCGCACCCCAATAACTCAAGTCCTCAAACCAGAAGATGCAATTGCAAGAGGAATTTTTATTACGTCTATAGACGGCCTTCCACCTTGATCAAAAGGGGAAGTCCAGATTCAGTTTAGAAGCTGGGTTATATAGACAGAAACCACAAACCACAAGCAGTAGGAGGGGCTGGTATTCAGGTCACAGTAGGAGTGCTTGGTTACATGGTTACAGCAGAAATGGGAGGGGGATTTTTCAGGTATTTTTCCAGCTGAAGGAAGCATGAAAAGGTCATCTTTTCTTCTCTACAGTTAGAATTATTTTTCTTTTACATCCTTGTACAGTTTCCCAGAATATAGCCTGGGAAACTTAGTTTCAGTTTAATCTGGGGGGCTCTGATTTGAAATTCCATCACCTGTACAACTGATTCCGTGTAGAGAAAAGCATTTTGTTGCATGTTTTCATTTCAGAGATGAGAATCAATCAACAGTAAGTTTAAGACAGGATCAGGATTACAGTGAAGGCTGGTCTGGTTCCAAACTCCCTCCACTTAACCTACACTATTCCATAGCAATCACTAGACAGGACCATGTAGAAGTTATTATGTCAGCAAACAGGGTTTTATGTAGTGAGGTGATAAAGGCAGTCACAGTCAGAAGAATGCCTGTATGAGATCCTCCCTATGCCCTTCCTGTGTCCAACTAGCAGACAATCGCTGGTATTAACATTTCCTTTTACCTAGCTCCTGTTCCCTTATGGCATTTCTGTCTCTCCACACTCCCTTCCTGCTCTACAGGGGAATCTGACAGAGCACAGCCTTGCTGTTTGTCTATTTGAAACGACTGTATCCAGCAGAGTTTAAGTTTAATTCCTTGTGTGACTTTCCAGTTCCCTCCTCACTCCCTCAAAACTTCTACCTATGAGTTGTGCCAAAGTGCTTTTCCTCTACAGACCTTTCCAAGTCATACTAGCCCATACGCTCTGTTATTGTAAGCCTGAAAGTGTCAATTTCTTCCCCAGTTCCCTCTGTGCCATGCTGGTCATAGGTGAAATGGAGTGGGCGTTTTGGCCCCAGCCCGTCCCTCCCCCGCCTGGGGATATACTCAGCACCTTTTCCCTATCAGTCAGTCCTTACTGATCTGTCGCCTTTCCTTTAGTTTTCCCTCCTAACAGCCACGGACAACCGTTTATTGAGTCTGCAGTTAGACCATTCTGTCCTAACAACTCCTATCAGGTAGGCAGGACCCTCTGAGCACTTAGGGTGCATCAGGCATTGGCGAGAGCATTGTACAACTCATCTAATCTGTGCGTTAAATGTTCTTCCTCTTGTGCACATCAAGTTGAAGTCGGCTGGGTCATAAGGAAGGTGACTGGCAGAACGACCATCGGAGCCCCATTGGCAGAGCAGCCTTTACATACCGCATCACACATACATGACCCGCCCTTTGCTTCAGTTCCCCTTTCCCTGATGTCCTGCCCCCTTCCTCTCATTCCCCTGGACTCCACCTCTGCCAAGCGCTACCACCTGGCGTCTTCCGACGTACCAGTGTTCCCTCACTCATCTCTCCGGAACTTTCCCCGCAGCCCAGGGTCCCCTTCCCTGTCCTCTCAGGATCCACCCAGAACAACTCGGCCCTTCCCCAGGCCAGCCTCGGCGCTGGCGGCCAGAGCGCAGGCGCGGAGGGCCACTGGCGGCGGCGGGGGGGGGGCGGGTCTCAGCTCCCGGCAGGCCCCGCGCCCGGTGCAGTCTGGGGGAACATGGCCGCTTCCGGTCTCGCGCTCCCGCCGGCGCGGGGCTGAGGGCTGCCACGGCCCCGCGCTCTCCTCCTGCTACCTCCCGCGCTGGCGGCCTCGGAAAGCCCCTCGGCCTTTTGCTCCCGCGCCATGGAGAAGAGCTCGAGCTGCGAGAGTCTCGGCGCTCAGCCCGCGGCGGCGCGGCCGCCCAGCGAGGACTCGCTGTCCAGGTGAGGACGCCGGGCCTTGCGGGGTTAGGAGGCCGGGCCGTGCGAGGAGAAGCCGGGCCGTGCGGGGATGGGGAGGCCGGGCCGTGCGAGGAGGAGAAGCCGGGCAGTGCGGGGTTAGGAGGCCGGGCCGTGCGAGGAGGAGAAGCCGGGCAGTGCGGGGTTAGGAGGCCGGGCCGTGCGAGAGGAGGAGACGGGGCAGTGCGGGGTTAGGAGGCCGGGCCGTGCGAGGAGGAGAAGCCGGGCAGTGCGGGGTTAGGAGGCCGGGCCGTGCGAGGAGGAGAAGCCGGGCCGTGCGGGGATAGGGAGTCCGGGGCCGTGCGGAGAGGAGAAGCCGGGCCGTGCGAGGAGGACAGGCCAGCCGTGTGAGGAGAGGCCGGGGCCGCCTTTGAGGGAAAGGAGAGTCTATGCTGTGTCGGGTGGAGGGGCGTCGAGCAGTGCGGGATGCGGAGGCCGGGCCTTGCATGGCGGAGAGACGCAGGGCTGCAGCGGGAGGAGAGGTCGGGTCCTCCATGAGCGGAGAGGAGGCCTTTTTATCGGAGCTTGGGACTGGAGTTACAGATGGTTGTTAGTCGTCATGTGGTGCTGGGAATCGAACCCGGGTCCTCTGCAAGAGCAGCCGGTGCTCCCAACGCTGAGCATCTCTGCAGCCCCAGCCCTCCTGTCACTCTAAAAATACCTGCTTTTCATCCTTTCCCACAGCCTTCAGCCTTTTCTTCGTCCTTTCCTGGATTTTGGATTCTTGCTGAACTTCGTCACGTGTTTCTTTCCTAGTCCCCCTGCAGTTTTTCCTCCTATCCTCCTGTTTTGCTCGGTTATGTAAATTAAAATGTCCCTCTGTTTACTTAGATATTTCAGCTGAAAGTCCTTGTCAAGGGATCGGGTAGTCGTCCTCGCTGTTTGCATTAGGAAAGCGCGTTCTGGTAGCTTTCTTTCCGTGGCGGCATGTTAGGTTCTCCAAGCGTCATTTCTCATGATAGGTGGGAATTTCCCGCTAGAATTTTGAGGAAGACTTTATATGTCTTTGCAGTATGGTGTATGGAATATTAGCATGTGTTTTAAAGGTTTACTAAGGAATAGTTTGTTACAGAGCCACAGTGAAAATCACGTTTTTACGGAGTCTAACCTGCTGCAGAACACTTTTCATTTCTTCCCTTAAAGAAGCTGAGGTTTCTCTATCAGTTGATTTACTTTGGATTCTCCGAAGTATGAGTGTTCCAGCTGCTTTTTGCTTTTGGTGTCGACCGCTTCCCTAAGGTACCATTAACTGATCTCATCACTCCAAATTAGGTTCTTTCCTGAAGTCACACTTTACTCTGCTTGCTTTTCAAAAAATATTGTTTTTGTTTATGTGTATGAGTGGTTTGCTTGCATGTATATAAGTGCACGCATATCATGCAGTGTCCTGGGAGGTCAGAAGAGGGCGTCAGGTCCATGGAAGTGGAGTTGTAGATGGTTGTTAGCTGCCATGTGGGTGCTGGGACTTGAACCTGGGTTCTACAACAGCCAGGCTCTTACTCTTTTATTTATTTATTTATTTTCTGAGTCCTTAAACACTCTTAATTGGTTTAATTGTGTTCTTTATTAGGGCTCTAAGTTACTTGAGGGCAAAAACCAAATTGTAATAATCTTCATACCACCAACGCCCGTGTGTTAAAATGGTCATGGGTTTTTTTGGATATGTACCTTGAATTTTTAGGGGAGAAATTTTTCTTTCTTTTGATCATGTTATTGTACATGTTTCAAGTTAACCTTTTTAAAAAAACTATAATGTTTAGAAAACTGTAAAATCCACCTAATAGTTTGGAAGATTATATTTTATGGGAAACTTACACATTGCAAATATGGTTCAGAATAGACTATAAAGACAGGTGAAGCAAACTAGTCCTCACAACCAAGGGAGAAAAGCTTGACTCACAGGAGGCAACATAGTGGGTTAGCAAGAAAGAACTAGAAGTCTGAACCTGATGACTGGCTTTGATCCTGGGGCCCTACAAGGTGAGAGGAGAGAACTGACTCCCTGTAGTTGCCTTCTGACATTCTGATCATGGGCGTGCACTCCCCGCCCCCAACACAAATACATAAATATACTTTTAAAAGTTCTGAAAATGCACCAAAGTGGCATGACGATGCAGCACTATCATTCCAGCACTTGTGGAAGGTAAGTCTGCAGGATCATGAGTTTGAGGCTCGCCTGAGCTACATAGCAGTTTTAAAGCTAGCCTTTCTAAGCTGTGTACCAGAACTATCTCATTAAAACAGCAACAGACCAAAAGTAATACATCTTACTTTCACAGACATTAACTTCCTGAAAAGAGAAAACCCATATTAAGTTTATATATTCACTTAGTGGTTTAATCTATTCATGAGACTTACTGACATAAATTTGAAAGATTAAGAATGGAAATACTTAGCTGGGTGTGGTGGCGCACGCCCTTAATCCCAGCACTTGGGAGGCAGAGGCAGGCGGATCTCTGTGAGTTCAAGGCCAGCCTGGTCTACATAGTGAGTTCCAGGACAGCTGGGGCTACAGAGAGACCCTGTGTCAAAAAGACCCCCCCCCCCAAAAAAAAAAGGAAAAAAGAATGGAAATACTTTTGACTGGTAAATTTGCCTCTTCTCAGGACCGACATGACTCCCTGTTGTCTCTCAGAGAATGCCAGCCTTCATTCATTTCTCTGGAATATAGAAGAGCTTTCCAAAGTAACTTGCTAAATTCTTTCATGCCTTTTTTTCCATTAACATTGTATTAAAAAAAAGATTTCTATTTATGTGTTTATGTCTGCATGTGTGTATATGCATGAGTGTCCATACATGTGCATGTGGTCACCCCTGGAGGCCAGAAGGGGCCATTGGAGCCTCTGGAGCTCACATGGTGTTTTAAATGTAGAATGAGCTACAATAGCCATATATATAATTAAGTAATAAAGATTGAGACAGCAGGCACAGAACATCGTCACATGTAGAAATCAGTAGGAAGCCCCTTTCAAGCAGCCAGCTGGAGTTGCCCATTGGGAGTCTTGGACAGAGCAGCATCCTTTGGTGAAGCTTCCAAGTAAAAGGACAAGTAAGAACAAGTAGAGGTGATACTAAATTGGGCACTCACTCTATTGAGCAGGTACAACTTGGGAAATTGAAGCAGTCAGCTGGAGTTCCCCTTTGGGCTTTCTTTCCATGGCTGAGCTTCCCTTGGCTGAATTTCCAGCTTTGCTTTTCCACTGCACCTTTTATATCATGGGATAAACAGTAACTGAGTCTTTTGATTTGGGAAGGTGACTGGGAATGATTTACCTCCCAGCTGTGTTCAAGGGCACAGTGTTTTTACTTTAATAGTTTATTCTCCTGTTCTCAAGGGCATGGTATTTTTACTCTTCGGATGTTTTGCCCTCCCTGTCAGACAGATGGAGTCGGGGGCAAGCCATCCCCAGATAAGAGGCCTTGGAGGAAGCTTTGAGACAAATATGCTTGTATCTGAAATGGAGGGTGGAGGGAGAGATCCAGCTTCCAGAGTCAGCTTCTCAGTGAGCTCAAGTAGCACATGAAAGTTTGTCACTATAATGTACAATATACATGGTCCTTGTTTGTGGTACTCTTTAATCAAAAGTAGATAGATAATAGCTTCATTGTAGACACTTACTTAATTTTAAGCAGAATTTAGGATAAGAGACCAGAAAAAGGTGTCAGATCCTCTGGTACTAGAGCTGGAGACAGTTGTGAGTGCCATATGGGTGTTGCAAACCAAACCAGGGTCCTCTGCACCAAACCAGAGTCCTCTGCAGTGCTCTTAACTGCTGAGTCATCTCTGCAGCCCTGACAAATTTCCATTGAGTTTAGCTACAAGGAAAATTATGCAAAAAGTATTAATACTTTTTATTTGTTGGCGAACATAAACTATGAAACTCTTTTGTTGTTGTTGTTGTTGTTTTTGTTTTTTTGAGACAGGGTCTCCTGTAGCCCCAGCTAGCCTGGAACTCACTATGTAGACCAGGCTGGCCTCAAACTCACAAAGATCTGCCTGCCTCTGCCTCCCAACTGCTGGGATTAAAGGCGTGCGCCACCATGCCCAGCATAACTCTCTTTTTAACTTAGCAGAAAACATCAAATTTGTAACTGAAGTTGGTAATATACTCATCCTTTTATGAGATGAATTCAACTGAAGTATTATGTTTCAATGTTAAGTGGTCATGTATCTTTACTTTCTGGAAATGAGGAGAATATAAATATGAAAAAGAATGCAGTACCTCTCATTTTACTTCACTATGTATTTGAAAATGATATACTCTTGAAATTGGATGAGAGGCTTTTGGGCCAATCTGTAGTTCCTAGTAAACATGTATATCAAGTCTTGTACGTATGTCTTAGTCATTTCAGAGTCACTGTTGGCTTAAGTGTGCTTCCTAGGTCATCCTAGGTCTGATGCCTTTGGTTCTGAAAGACTAATTGTATTCTTTTTTAAAAAATATTATTTTATGTGTAAGAGTGTAGTGCCTGCATGTAGGTAAGTATACCCGTGTCATGCAATGCCCGTGGAGGACAGAAGAGGCTGTCGGATCCCCTGGAACTGGAGTTATGGACAGTTGTTAGCTGCCATGTGGGTGCTGGGACTCGAACCTGGTCCTCTGTAAGAATAACCAGTGTTTTTTAACTGCTGGATCATCTCTCCAGCCCCCCCATTGTATTCTTTATGCAGCATTCAGGTGGTTTTCTAATCAACTGAGTTTAAGTCATTTGCATCCTTAGTCTTGTTCCTTCTTGCCCTGTTGTAGCAAAATGTTCAGCAGCTCTTACCTGTTCTGACGGTGTCCATTCTGCACAGGTGTAGCCTCTGGAGTGTTGTGACAACATTTACCTTGACATACTGGCAATTCAGCTGTATTCCAGTATTTTATTCTTGTTGGGCTTGCACTGATTCTTGATGTGAGTAGGACTCTATGGAATATAAATAAAATACTACTGGAGGCTGGATGTGAGACATAGGATAGATCTGATCTTCAGAAGTATGT